ACTGCCAGGTGATCTTCTTTCCCTATATCAGAGTCCCTTTAGTTTTGGACATCATTCCAAAAGAGAATTAAAATTAAAAAGAAAAAGATGGGGAGGCAGCCACAGGCTGTCACATTTTTTTTTTTGCAATATGTGAAATATTATTATTACTCTCCCATCCAAATCTATAGGCTCCTATGAGTGAGTGTGTGTGTGTGTGTGTGTGTGTGTGTGTGTGTCAATGAAAACACTCAGAGAGGGCCAGGCGCAGTGACTCACAGCTGCAATCCTAGCACTCTGGCTGAGGTGGGAGGATCACTTGAGCTCAGGAGTTTGAGACCACCCTGAACAAGAGCAAAACCCTGTCTCTACAAAAAATAGAAAAATTATCCAAGCATGGTGGCATGTGCCTATAGTCCCAGCCATTGGGAGGCTGAGGCAGGAGAATCTCCTGAGCCCAGGAGTTGGAGGTTACAGTGAGCTATGCACTCTATTCTGAGCAACAAAGCAAGACCCTGTCTCCAAAAAACAGACAAGCAACAAAGAAGATGTTTAAATTCAGAATAGAAGGTGGAAAGCAAGATCAAGGACAAGTGCTGAAACCTTGAAGCAGTAAGTCAAGGGAAGTGTCAACTAAGAACTATTTTGGCTGTGAACCCCTTGTTTCCCTAGATTCTAGATGCCAGATCATTTGTTTCTTGGAGGTGCCTCCATAGGAGGGTTTATAGGTGAGATATTTGGGTGTTATTTTACCTTGAAAGTAAAGGCCAACCAGAGAGGGGAATGAAAGCAGGGCTTGATTCTTAACATAATAAGGCATAAGACAGGGCAGTGGATGGAACAGTATTCCCTGAGAGTGGTGCACATGCTGGTGTTGGTATATAAGATGATAGCACGTGTATGAGCAGTTTTATTTCTAGTAGCTTAGTGAAATACAAATGTTTCACATGTATCATTTAACCCTACAAACCATGATTTCATGTATATTATTGCTTAAAATAGTAGCAATACAAGATTTTCCTAAAAATTATGCAAGTAAAAGGAACATGTCAGTTGAAAGGACAATGTTAAGTAAAAATGTGTAAGTGCTGCACAAATATGGCAAAAATTTCAAAAGAGGTTTACGAATGACTGAGTTTTGGGAAATGCTAGGTTAGAGAATTGGATATACTCTTTTAAACTAAACGCTTGCTTTCTGTTATCTTCCTACCAAAAAGTATTAAGGAAACAGAGTTGCACGCATTATGTGTTTTTACAATGCATGGGATGGATCTATCTCGACCACTGTCCTATTTCCTGTGCTGTATCAGTCATTATTTTTTGTACTGTGGGGCGAAGCTGTGTTTATTCATATCTCCTAGGGGCGTAATGTGTCACAGGCATAATGAGTGTACTACCTAATTTTTCACAAGAGTGCTACACAAAGTAGAAATGTGAAAGTCACCTTTCATAACTGAAGGAGGCCCGGTGGTTGGGTAGCCTCATTTTGCCCACAATAAACTAGTTCTCCATTCTTTGCGCAATCGCCAGGCAGCCCTAATGGCTGTTATCTTTGCTGAGCTAAATGCAACATCTCACACCAAATTTATTGGCTTGGCAAAGTTACAAGTTTTATTACGCAAAAGTTGAGAAAGAGCAAAGCTGAAGAGTGCTAAAAACAGTACACTTTGCTACTGTGTAGTATCTGTATTTGGGGCTCAGGGTGTTTTATTTATAGATATCTATTAATACATAGCCAGAGATACAGAAAGAAACACATAAAAATTGCTTTATCAAATAGTTTCCAACATTCAAGTGTAACATCAAAAGCAAGAACATCCACAGCAAACTGTTCTGCTGGGGGGAAAAAACCATCTTCTTTACCTCTTCTCCCCTTCCCTTCCCTTTCCTCTCTGAGCACAACTGTGGCTGCAAATAGTGTTTCCCCAGGCAGCTCTCTGAGGCCTGGGGTGGGGGCTGTGAAGGCCCCTCCATATTTATAAAACCTCCATATTTATTCCTTTGTCCAGCTTCATAAACCTCCTCTTCTCCCTCCCTCTCTAGCAATGTCTCAAGTGAAGGAGGGGTGGGGGCATCCAGCTTGTAAAACTGGTTTGTTGGGGTTCTCCTTCCTCCCCACTTGATTCTTGGGAAAATTTCTTGCTGGGAATCTGCCTGGCAGTGCCTTTGCTGCATTCTCTGGGCTTGAACTGACTTCCCCCTGCTTCCGTAGAAGGAAAAGGGGGCCGCTGTGAGAGGGAGAGATGGGCAGAGAAGGCAGAAGCCACCCCTTGCCCCAAGACACACAAAGAAAGAGCCATAAAAGTACACACACACACACACACACACACACACACTTGTCTTAGAAAGTCAGGATTCCAAGCGATGGGGGCAAGATTATCCTTGGCACAAGGGGCCCCTGCCAGGTGTGAAACCCTGCATCCTTACTTATATTTACTTGCACAGAGCTCTAGGAGGCCGCTGTGGACGGATCGCTAGCCACGTGTTGTGTTTCTAACTCAAACACATTCACAGCCGGGGCAGGAGAGGAGGGCGGGCCGTGGGAAGGTGCGCGGGGAGTTTCATTTTGCTTCACTTCCCCGCCTGATGGCTGGGTGCCGCTGGCTCCCGCAGGGGCAGCCCCAGGGCCCTCCAGCTGGAGGGGAGCTCAGGCTGGACCCAAGAGGGGACTGGGGAGGGCGGGGCGGTTGTTTCCGGGGAGGGGCTGAAGACAGGTTGGTCCTGACTGTTGCCAGTGTTTGGTCAAAGTTGCCAGGAGGTTAAAAAAAAAAGGTGGTGGCGGAGAAGGGGGGTTCCTGCCCAGACAGATTCATTTCCCAGGGCTCCTTTCCTCCGTGGGTGGGGGTGGGGCGGGGGAACTTGGATCTTGTGAAGGTGCCATCAGCTCCCCTGTCTCCCCCCAAGGTCTGCCTGGAGGAGGTAGGGGTGTGCAGGGAGGCCAGGACACCCCGCCCGAGCAGAGGCGGCAGAGCTGGCTTCCAGCTCAGTGCCACCTAGTTCTCAGGGGAGCAGAGGTCCCCGTGGGCCCCTGGGGCTGGGCTGAGGTAAGCACACCAGGGAGGCAGAGGCCCCTGGGGATGGGGTGGCGGCATCTCTGGGTGTGGGTGTGGGGGGAAGGGCTCCTGCGGAGTCTCCCCCACCTCCAGCCCTTGCTGCAATGGCCCTTTTAGGGGACAGATCTCATTTTGCACCTGACACTGCTGCTGACACGCTACTCCCACCTGTGACTTCCAGGGAGGGCTGGGGGCCCAAGTGTGTCAATGTCCACAACTTTGGTGTTGGCATAAAGTCTGTCCTTTTGGTTCTAGAGGTGAAGGATAAGCAGGGGGAAAGAAGAAACGGTTCTGTGGGATCCTCCTCTGTTGTGGGAGTATTGGAAATGGACACACACTTTAAGCCCACCCTACTACTCCCTGGGAAAATAGGAGTAAAACAAGATGAGGAGATGGGGAAGGTATCCATTTGATGGTGTCCTTAGGTGCTAAATGTAGACTTAGCTTTTTCCTGAGACTCTAAATTTAATCAATGTAAATCTTGCCTCAGTTTTCTCACCTGAAAAATGGGGCTAATTGAAAAAGTCAATATTTTACATGTATGTTTTGCTTTATTCACTACAGCACGTTCTCACCTGTACAGTGACTGCCCCGTGGTCACCCCAGGGGATATTTCAAGGTTAAATAGACAGGAACTTGTTTTGAAAACGTAAACACATTATTAAATGTGAGGTATTATCTGATCCTCTTGTTCTTCACGGCATTTCCTCCAACACCACCCTCACTGCATATTCAGGTAACCCCATGCAAGAACACCTTGCCCTAAATGAAAAAGCAAAGCAAAATAAAACAAAAAAGTTTTTTTAAAAAAATAAAGACCCAGAAAAGACGTCCCTGTGTAGGGAGCAAAGGCAATATTCTGAAGTGCATCCTCCTCTCCCGCGTAAGGCGCCAGTCCCTGCCCTTCCTGGGCCCCCAACACAGGTTGTGTTTCCTTCTGTCACTTAGAAGTCAAGGCTTTTACTTTTCGTCCTGATATCAATAAAACGCCGGCCCCTGCAGCTCTCCACCTCCCCCTGGCGTTCCTCTCCCGCATCTCCCGCGATCGGTGGGTTCGGCCGCGCGCGGGTTCGGCGGGGGCAGGGCGGGCACGCGGGACCGCCGGTGGGGACTTCTGATCGGTGACGTTGAAAAGATCGGTTATGTGCCTGAAACTGCTCGCATCGTTGTTTTAAAGCTTCCCTTCCCCGCCGGTCCCTCGCCCATCTCTCTCCCGTAGACGCCAAGAACTTTAGCAAAACAGACTTGGGGGCAGGGGCTTGGGGAAGAGAAAACGGTGCGTGGATCTGCCAGAATAATTTGACCCCCAGTGTGCGTGTGTGCGTGTGTGTGTGCGTGTGCGTGTGTGTGTGTGCGTGTGTGTGCGCGTGGTGGGGGTGTAGGGGTGAGGAGGGAGAGCGGCCCCTTGTTTGCCCGAGACTAGACTCGGAGAGACATAAAAGGAAAATGAAGTGAAAAACAATTTGAAAAATTCCCCGCACACAACAATACCATCTATTTAAACTGCAGCTCATACTTTCCATACCAATGGCATGACTTTTTTTCTGGAGTCTCTCTCCTGACTCTTGAACTCCGGGGCTGGCAGCTTGCAAAGGGGAAGCCAACCGCGGCGCAGCACGGGCAGGTTTACCAAAGGTCTCTAATGGGTATTTTCTTTTTCTTAGCCCTGCCCCCGAATTGTCAGACGGCGGGCGTCTGCCTCTGAAGTTAGCACCGATTTCCTCTAGGGCCCGGCCTTATCTCCGGCTGCACGTTGCCTGTTGGTGACTAATAACACAATAACATTGTCTGGGGCTGGAATAAAGTTGGAGCTGTTTACCCCCACTCTATAGGGGTTCAATATAAAAAGCCCTGCGGAGAGCTGTCCAAGTCAGACACGCCTCTGCACCCGCGCCAGCACGGACGGGTTCCGCGTCTCCGCTGCGGTCCGCGCGCCGCCGCCTCGTGCGCCCGCAGACCTCCCCGCCGCCGCCGCCGCCGCCGCCGCTCCCGCTCCCGTCCGCGCTCGGGGCACCCGGCCTGCACGGTCGCTCCCAGATCTGCACGACCCGCGGCGCTCCCAGGGCACCGCAGCTGTTTTTCTCCGTTTTCCTTTGCGTTCAGTTTGCACGGGAGGTTTCTGCTCCCTTTTTATTACTTTTTTTCCAGAATGGATTATTTGCCCATGATTTTCTCTCTGCTGTTTGTGGCTTTCCAAGGAACTCCAGAAACAGGTAGGCACGCCGGCTTGGAAATCTCTGAACGTTAATGTCTTCTTATCCATCTTAATGCTTTTGCTGCTTCTGTTTTCTCTCCCTTCTTTTTTATTACCGCTGCTTAGAGAGCAAGTGTCTGGGAATTAGCCCTCAAAGTGGCTGAAGTTTTCTAGAGAAAAATGTAAAATTCCTCTACTGAAGACAATTGGAGATAACTTAATATAACATAGCATTACAATAACTTATTTTATTATAATTTTTGCATGATATGTTTTCTTGGCTTTTAAAAAAATAACTCAAGAAGAGTATAGATATTATTTAACCAAATGTGTGTTTGCAATGTATGTGTACATACAGGTACATAGGACACACGGGAACACATATCTTATTTAAACACTTTTAACAGTGTGCTAATGTGTAAAATATTTAAACATTCCAGCTTGAAGCCAAGGAATTTTATTCAAGTCATTCAAGGAATATATGAGCAGTAAAATCACCTGCAGAACAACAGTCTGTTGAATAACACCCCCCAGGCGGTTTCAGGGTGAAGCAGATGTTTTCTTTAAAATTTGTCATTATTGACTTTAGGTTTCTTTTGGCAGGTTTTTGGCACCCAAAACAGCATGAGCTCTCTTTTTAGTTGTATTCACCTGTCCTGGGAGGGGAGCTAGAATATTCTCGGCTGCTTAAGGATTTAGACAGTGCGTGTGCATCTGCCCGGTTCCCATCTTTTTTAGGGTCAATGCACTTTTTTTGTCTCTGCATGACCCTAACTAAAGAGAAAGGATGTCAAGGGGATGAAACTCCTGGAATGTGTCTGATCATTTGAAATGTACAAAATTGGGCAGATAAGCTGCATGGCTAAGTTGTCAAAAGGAAGAGGCAATGCCCAAGTGGGAAGGGGAAGCCGCAGATCCCACACAAGCCAAATTACCAGGGATTTCAAATTCATAATCCACAGAGCCTTCCCTGCGTCCCCTGAGCTGCTTCTTGGCTACACCTTAGCCCACTGGTTTTTGTAGAGTTTCCCACCTGAAATGAATATTGTAAAATTAATTTCTCCTCTGCCTCCAGTCATTTTTTCAGTGTTCTTGCCGCCAGCCTGATTCAAGAGGTATATATTTTCTCCAAGGGTTACAACATGCCCTACAAAGGGTGTGAAGTGGTGGGTACTCCCCTAAAAGGATGGTCATCCTGAATGGGGAAGTAGCCCCAAACCTAGGACTAGGCAGTGCAATGTATCTTTAGCCATCTGCCACTTTTAAGCCACTGTGGGTTGTGCCATCCTACTAAGTTCCATGCAGAAGCCAACCCCAATTTCCAACAGGACAGCATTTCCAAGCATTTCCTTGAAGCCTGCTTGAAGAAGGCATTCCTTTTCAGGTGTTTGTCTCCTCTGCATTTGTGTAATCCGTGCACAAGCCAGCAGGGGCAGAGGTGCAATCCCGTTAAGGAGGGAGAAAATACAGAGCCCTTTTCCCTCTACTCGCGTCTCTTGCTGAAGGCAGGCTGTGTGCCTCATCTGCTTTTATCTGCTCTGCTCGCTCTGGCGTAAGCTCCGCCGTCCAGATCCAGCGTGTCTATGGGCCTCTGAGAGACACCCCCCACTGACCTACTCTTTCTCTCCCCAGCGGTCTTGGGCGCTGAGCTCAGCACCGGGGCTGATAAGGGCGTGGAGAAGCCCCCTCCCGGGGCACCCTGGAGGCCCCGCCGGTCCAAGCGCTGCTCCTGCTCATCCTTGATGGATAAAGAGTGCGTCTACTTCTGCCACCTGGACATCATCTGGGTCAACACTCCCGAGTGAGTCTCTAGAGGCCTCGCAAGCCTAGTCATTCGTTGGCGCTCCTTTTCTGGGGAGCTCCTGGTTTGGACCCTGAAGGTAGCATTTCTGAGAACATCAAAGGGCCTCCCTGGGGACTTGTCAGGGCTCCTCCATTCCTGAAAATAGCAGGACAGCCTGGTTCTTAGCAACCGAGGGGGAGAGTCTCATTATGGGATGGAGGGAAAGAGCTGAGGACAAGTGGGAGGCTGCTGCATGTTTCACACTAGGAAAAAAAACTTTAAAAGTGAGAGGACCCCGGGATGCTCTCTCAGTGGGAGCCAAGTGAGTTTCGGGAATAAGCTGCCCAGGTCATAGGTGGGTTAGTCCAACTGTGCTGCTCATGGGAGGGTAGAGATTGAGAAGCAGAAGGGATTACAGAAGGTTATACTCCAATCCCTTCATTTGACTTATACAAAAAAGAAGACTCAAGATATTGAAGCCACTTGTGCAGGAATGAGTTTGGGGCAGAGCTACAACTGGCACCTGCGTCTCCTTCCTCTTCTGTACTTTCTCTTTAGAAAAGCCCACTGCAAGGCAGAAATAGAAATACCATCCACAGGTCTCTCTTTCACCTCCAGAGTGAAGCAAAGCAGTTTCCCCCTTCGCCTCTGGCACTAGTGCACCCGTCAGAAGCAGTGATAAGCCCACATTCATTGTGTCTGCAGTGTCATATTCTGGGGAGGGAGGACCAAAATCCAGACAAAATCAAATCGAAAACCACATTGAGCCTAATACTTAGTAAGGTAATACTTCCAAGGGAGGACTTTATTCCTTAAGTGAGAACCAAATGAATCCATTGGGAATTGTTGGAGTGCTCTCTGGCAATGAGTCCTTCTGCAGCCCCACGCTATCACCAAACTGCAGGAGAAACGTGCAGACGTGTGTCTCCTCCTGCCCCCTCAGGGGGCATTTTTGGCATTATCATATGTAATTTGAACTGTAAATAGGTTTTAAAAATCTTGCAAGTCATAGTTTTTGCATCGAAGTCTCTTCCCCCTCTCCCTCCACAAATAGCTATTGACTAAATAGATCATTAAAAGAGGAGGAAAATATGAAGCAGACACCAAGGAGAGATGTCATAATTTTAGACAAAAAGCAATGTTGCTTGTGTCAAGAAGAAATTGAACTTTGTTAAGAGTTGAGATGGAATCTTATTGAATTAGAAAAGCTGGTTTTCTCCCGGTTTGGTCCACATACTCAGGGCCATTGATGGGTTCCTGACTTTTGTCACACTGGAGTTTCCCAAGTTATGCTCCCAAGCACTGTGTGATGAGCTCCTTGTGTGCCTAATGGAATGAGTGTGCCCCAAAGAATGTGTCATTTTGAAGAATATTAATTATGCTAATACCCTTTGTTTCTCTCTTTTGATAATAGGCACGTTGTTCCCTATGGACTTGGAAGCCCTTCTAGGTCCAAGCGATCCTTGAAGGATTTATTTCCTACAAAGGCAACAGACCACAGGGATAGATGCCAATGTGCTAGCCAAAAAGACAAGAAGTGCTGGAATTTTTGCCAAGCAGGAAAAGAACTCAGGTGAGTAGAAATACCTTTGCTTTTCAATGAGTTTAACAGCTCCACCTCCTGACCTCCTTCCTGGAATGTTGCTGCCTTCTTGGTTTAGAAGAAAGGAAAAGAGACATTGAAAGTCAAGGTAAAACTGAAAATACCATTGCTGAAATATTTTTCCCTGTGTATTTTAACAGGGCCCAAGACACTATGAAGAAAGGCTGGGATAACTATAAGAAAGGAAAGGACTGTTCCAAGCCTGGAAAGAAGTGTATTCAGCAGCAGCTGGTGGAAGGAAGAAAAATTAGAAGGTAAGAGGTTCACAAGAACAGCTAGGCCCAGTTAGTAGAGCTAACAGCCTACACCCTTAGTCTTTCTTACCTATCTGGGGGAAAGTCTTAGAAGGCAATAACAGAGGAGATCTTTCAGTTCTGTAGGTTAAAAAGAGCAAAGAAATCCCTCTAGAATATTTCCATGAAGGCCTTTAATGCAAACTGCTTCCCTCTGAACTTTAGCACATACCATTCAGTCTACAGGTAGATTTTCCAAAGAAAATATATCCAGAGACAGCATCTTTGTCATGTGGTCATATCCAGTCTTTGCCTCTCTGAGTCAATGTATTTACCACTTTCCCTGAGAAATTAAAAATCATTTCAGGGAGAGGACATTTCTTTTAAAGAAATCATAGTATCATGTATGTTCTTCAGCAAGTAGCAGTTATTCAAATGGCCAAAGGGAAAATAAAGTCATTAGGTAGGGTTGGTGAGATTTAGAACATGCTGTTTTTCAGGTTTACTATTTTTTTTTTTTTTTTAAATAGGGAAATGCATTTGGTGGAGAGCCAATGTCGTTCCAAAAAGCTCTCTCGTTTCCTTGTTGGTCATGGGCTGGGACAGAGAAGGGACCTGCGTTAGGCAATACTGTGGGGTTGCTCTGAGCAGCGTGGCAGCGGTGACCTTCCAAATCCTAAAGTGTTTGGAATCCACAAGTTCAAGGGAGGAAACCTACTTTCAAAATGTGTCACATGTTCTACATTTCTCTATCATGATCTCTGGAAACTTTTCCTAGAAATCCAGTGGCAAGAAGTTCTACGATTAAAGTGTTCTGAGCACAGGCCTGGCAGTCACGAGCCACTTCTGAGTTGTTTACTACTGATTTGCAAGGCAGCCTCGGCTGTCTGTTCTTCCATACCTGCCATGGTCATTTCCATGTTTGTGATTTCAGGCCACTCATGCTTCCCACAAAATGACAGTTTCTGAACTGACCTGGAAATTATTATTTCCTCTATTAATTTGCTTTATGTCAACTATTAAGTCAGCGTTTACAGTTCTTCCCTCTTTTCTTCTCCTACAAAAAAGGAAGCATTAGGCCTGCAAAAAGCCAAAATTCTTTTTTTTTTTTAATTGCTACAAAGTATCTGCTTTGGGCCTACCTGTGTGCTTCCTTTTTTTTTCTCTCTCTCTCTCTTTCCAACTAAGTCACCTTCAATTCCTTGTGTGATGAAGATGATGCTTGTGACTGTTTGACCTATGACAAGTTTGTCCATGCAGCGAGTCCCACAGTTGTAGAGGTTGGGACAGAGCTATAGAAGAAACTAGAACATTTCTGGTTTATTTTAAAATTGTATTGAATGCCCAATTCTCCTTAGAGTTGAACATATGACCCCTCTCCCCCATTCTAAGCACACAGGGCAGACTTTATTTTTATAGTGGTAATAGATACCACTTGAGGTTTTATCAAAGAGTTGTGGTTGGTGGTGAAAGTTCAGAACCAGATTTAGATTTGTTTGTTCTAATTTTAGATGTGCCTTTTGCTGAGGAGTGATTTTTTTTTTAAAAAAAATAACAATAATAAGATTTGTTTTCTCTTATCTTGTTTTAATAGGTTGGAGGCCATAAGCAACAGCATCAAAACATCTTTTCGTGTGGCCAGGCTGAAAGCTGAGCTCCACAGAGAGCAGAAGGTGAAGCACAACCGAGCACGCTGATTGCAGAGCTCTGGGCCTGTCGGAAAACATCGCCTCCGCGGACAGAGCCCTGTGGCCAGCTCTGCACTCTCTGCACACTGGCTGGGATCAGAGCAGGAGTGTCCTCCCTGCTGAGACTGTTTCTTGTTCCTGACTGGCAAAGGACCAGCGTCTTTGTTCTAAAACATTCCAAGAAAAGTTAAGGAGTTCCTCCAAACTGTCTCCATTTGCTTCCATCGGTGGTAACTGCTTTCGTCTCTTCTTTTGTTCGGGGATGACAATGGACCTCTCAGAAAGCAGAAAGACACAATGACATTGGACTTAGGGTGGCATCCTCCAGAGGGAGGAAGGAGATTCCACACGAGGGTGGAGTTTCTGAAGAGAGTCCTAAGGGAGGGTTTGTGTCGGACTCAGGCGCCTGGCACATTTCGGGGAGAAACTCCAAAGTCCACGCAAAGATTTTCTAAGGAATGCACAAATTGAAAACACACTTGAAGGACAAATACTCTAGTAAGAAAAAAAAAAAAAAGAAGGACTTTTAAAAAAATTCATAAAATGCAAAACTGAGAAACTGTTACTACTGTAAATCAGAATGTGTTTCATGAATATGAGTCTACCTCACCTATGTTGCACTCTGGCCCTAGTATTTCCCAATTTTAATTCCCACCCCAAACTCTTCCTTCTCCTGCGCCCCTCCACCCCCATACTACATCCTAGCCTCATACAAGTCTGGTCTAATGTGTCAGTAGTAGATGTAACATTTTCATGGTAATCTACTAGCTCTGATCCGTAAGAAAAAAGATAATAGAATCAGGAGATTCCCTTGCCTTGATTTTTGGAAACGATAATGGTATAGGGATGTTTATGAAAGATATTGAAAAGTAAATGTTGGTTATGCTTTAAAGCAGTGAAATTATTTCCCTTTATGTAACTGGTTAATAGAAGAGGTTGGATTGAATTTTGATGTACTTATTTTTTTATAGATATTTATATTCAAACAATTTATTCCTTATATTTACCATGTTAAATGTATGTTTAGGCAGGCCATATTGGTCTATGTATTTTTTTTTAAATGTATTTCTGAATGAAATTGAGAAAATGCTTTGTTTTGCCTGTCAAGGTAATGACTTTAGAAAATAAATATTTTTTTCCTTACTGTACTGATTTTGAATTATTTCTGAAATTCCTAAGGAGTGGGCCAAAGTGGTAAGAATTGTGAAGGGAAATGGTTAAAGATGGTTTTTAGTAGAAAGGTAACAGTTAGAAGGAAAACAGCCCAGCCTAATTATAAAGAGAACTTGATCTATATTGCATTAAGGTAAAAACAACACAAAACAAAAAATCCAGCTTCAACATCTCTGTCTTCCCTTGGATAGCAGCCTCCTGCTTCCCTTTACCTGAAAACTCTCTAGGGACTTCATCCATTAACTCTGCCTGGGCGATTAGGCAGGACCCAACAGTTTAAGCTGATGGTGTGGTGAGAGGTGCTTTCTCCACAGTAATAGACTGAAGGAAGTAATGGCAAGATGCACCCCCCCCCCCCAAATACCTAATTATGCATAGTCCCACACCAGAGTCACTTTCAGAAAATACCCTGTACAGAGCAGGGAGAAGCTTCCAATGATTTTTTTATTTGCTCAGATTAAGAATTTTGTTTGTCAAGGAACATTGACTACCACTGCAAACTTCCTTATGACAGCCCAGAACTGGCCATGTGCCCATGGAGGTAGGGACACCAGGTCTTGATTTTAGGTCACCTGCCTGGCAGCCCCCCTTCTCTCTCCATTTGGCCTTGGCTGGCCCTGCCAAACCACCGCAGAGAACAGTATTGCCTGTAAATGGTCCTTACCAACACACTTCCGTAAGTGAGGATCAGCGTTCGAGAATCTTCACCTCCCTTCTCTAATAGTGTCTGAAAGAATGTCCGCATTCCACAGATATTAGCTGGTGGTGACACTGTTGTCCAAACAGCGACACCTCGGAAGAATGTCGAACAACAATCTTCAGCTGTGCATAGCCAATGTCCTGGGCAGGGTCTCCAACTTCATCGACACTCCTTTTTGTCTCCTATATTTTTTAAGACACAGTCTAGCGTCTTTGAGGAATTGCTTATAAAGCTTACTTTATCTAGTTAACTGCTTCTCAGAGTGTGTGGTTCTCAAGCGGATTATGAGTTTCGTGTACACTGACAAGGTGCTTGGCCTGAACTTGGTCAGTTTTGAGCAAACTATTCAATCCCCTTAAACAGTGAGTTTCCTTATCTGTTAAACGAGAGAGTGAGGGAATTTCTCTAAGAGCTCCAAGAGTCCGAGATGACGCAAAGAAGTTGAGAAGTGGTACAAAAAAAAAAAAAAGAAGAAGAAGATCTGAGTTTAGAGGACAGAGTTCTACATACATTTAAGGGGACGTTGGAATGGGAGAAGCCAGAGAGTAGACACAGGTCAAAGAACAACATGCAAGTAAGAGCGATAGGAGTTTTTGTTTGTTTGTTTGTTTACCAGACCATTAAATCCTCAGCTCTGGTGCTTCCTGCTTTAGTAACCGGCAAGATAAATGAAAGTCATGAAGCCACTACTCCAGGGCATGAGGATTAGCAGTAAAATAAGTTGGAAGGTTCATAGGAAATTAATATTTTTGAAACATGTAGAGGAAACATTCAGAAATATCCAAGGCCCAATCCAGCTTGAGAGGTGGACTGATGGTATTGACTGTCACACTTCCTGCTGGGTTTCTTTCTTTCTTTTTCTTTTTTTCAGTAAAAGCATGGTTTCTGGATGCCCACTTAGGACAGCTTTCTCTCTTCACATAAACAGCCCAGTCGAGCTTTGATCTCAGGACTCTAAGGACCAGGGGACCCCGGGTGGGGAGCGGTGACCTTTGGGGAGGAGGGATCCCTACTAATAAGTACTTCATGTTTTACCCTCAGGGATATGCTTCCTTTTTGATGGAAACTACCGGCTTTAATCCTGCCTGTGCTTCCTGAAACATAACTGAGGATATCGTAGTAATCTGGAGTTCCCTGCAGAACACCGTTGCTAACCTTGAGAAAGAGCAGCAGTTTGTCTTTCCAGGTGAAAAAGGCAAGGCCCAGACAGGGAGGCAACTGACCTAGGATCACACAGTGAGCTGCAGCATCTCCGGAGCAGCAGTTTCACCCAGATGCACCTGCAGGTCAGCAGAAACCGCCGCCCCAGCAAACCCTGACACAGGTTCTGAGTGGCAAAGGCAGATCGCTCCTTATAGAAGCTTTGAGACAGAAGAAATGTCAGAGAAGGAAAAACGTATATAAGGAGGCATAAAATCTCAGGGCATCCTTAAGTGAATTTTATAGGATGAAATAGAGCATAGCTAGGAACTCAATTGTTATTATGTTTTAGAGTTTAATCCCCAAATAATCTTTATATAATATAAGTAAAAGGGGGAACTCTTTTGCTCAGTTCTCTTTTACTCTGTAATGCAAGGCAGTGTTGTTGTTTTTCTTTAAAATCTCTGTGCCTAAGGCTTTGAAATTCTCATTTTCAAGATCAAGTTCTCAATGTGTCTGTAAGATGCATTGTTTTCAAGCCTGTGCTCTCAATGGAGTTCCTTCTGTCTTGGCTTTCTCTCACCTTTGTACTCACAGTTCCTGGGACCCCGGGTCTGGAACTCGGGATGTACCCACTGCAAGTGGATGTTTTTGCTCTCGGGACCTTACTGATTTAACAATAGCCCCTCATCTTTGCAGAGAACGTGGTTTCCGGTAGCATTTTCACATCCCTTCTCTCATTTGACCTCTATCCCCATCACAATGATCCTTTCAGGAAGTTTGGACCATATTATTAATTTTGCCCATTCGACAGCCAAGGAAATAGACGTAACGAAAGCATGGGTGACTTGTCCGTAGTCCCAGAGCCCTACAGCAGGCAGGTAGCAATACTGGAACTCAGGATGCCTGACCCTTTCTTCTTAAACTTCCTCAGAGCAGAGGAGACACACTGGTACCACAGGTTGGAGACACACAGATTATTTCCAGCATGCGAGTGAACTATGAGCGAAATTAACCTTTTATTCTTCTCTCAGGAAAATCAATATTCCACATGTACCTGGAGCCCTAGTTGTGAACATTTAGTTGTATGATATTTTGTTGATTACATCATCTTTACTAGGCCAATGCATGGTTGGTGGAGAGCTTGCTGGGTTTTACAAAACCTGCCTCAAATCTGGCACGATGGAGTGCTTCATCGGCAGCTGCTGGCCATGCAGCCAGCACACAGTGGGGAGTGGCAGTAACGAAAGTGATGGCAGGGGCTGTGAAACGCCCTCAAATCCTGGGCAATAATCAGAGGCATAGCTGGGTTGTGCGCTCCTTATGAGAACCTAATGCGTGACGATCCGAGGTGGAGCTGAGGCGGTGATACTAGTGCTGGGGAGCAGCTGCAAATACACATTATCATTAGCAGAGAGGTTTGACTGTACAGTAAATGTAATGCGCTTGAATCATCCCAAAACCTTCCCCCTCCCCTGGTGCCATTTGATAGGAAGAAGAGAAGCACTCAGGCCTTGGAGATGCTGAATGATAGAAAAGATAGATCCCAACATGACAGCTGCTCACAGCTCAGAGAGGCAGCACATGGAGAATCTGACATAGAGTTTAGCTGGCTCAGAACCTTCTGTGTTTCTCCATCGTATTCTTCTCTTTTTATATTCTGTGTTATTCCACTCCCCTGCTGCCTAAATTGCCAGAAGTATCCAGGGTTGATATTTGCAATAATTAGTGACCACAGGCACTGACCAGTTGGAACAGAGTGGGACAGAGCTGAGGGACAGGCTCCTTGGGCAGTCCAGCCAGGCCAGGTGTTAAACCTCCAGATGTTGGCTTGTGGGGAGGTTCAGTGGCCTGAGGAAGGGGTGGGCAGCAAGGGTGGAATTCCCAAGCTTTTTGCTGTTAAGACTGTTTACCGACCAGGATGAAATCGTTTCAATATTTCACAAACTGAAATAATCTCACGAGTACCTGCCCTTCTGTGTGCCAGACTTGGAAGCATCAAAACTGTTCTCTGTTAGGTAAGTTATTCTCTGTATAGCTTCACTGAGTGAGAACATGATCTCCATGCCTGCAGAACAGTTCAGCCCCAAATCTTTCTGCGTGTACCTTTGGCACCCTACTGCTTTGTCATCCCTCCGCGTCATCTCTCTCCTCATGCCCTGGTCTCCTTTGATAGAAGTGGAAATACTCTAAGGTAGCTGTCTCCAACCTTTTTGGCACCAGGGACTGGTTTTATGGAAGACAATTTTTCTACAGACTGGGGGAGGGATGTGGTTTTGGGATGATTCAAATGCATTACATTGATTGTGCAGTCAAACTTCTCTGCTAATGCCAATCTGTATTTGCAGTCACTCCCCAGTGCTAGATCACTGCCTCAGTTCCACCTCAGGTCATCAGGCAGTAGATTCTCATAAGGAGCATGCAGCCTAGATCCCTTGCATGCGCAGTTTACAGTAGGGTTCACGCTTTTATGAGTATCTAATGCTGCTGCTGATCTGACAGGGGTCGGAGGTCAGACAGTGATGTGAGCAATGAGGAGCAGCTGTAAATACAGATGAAGCTTTGCTGGCTCACCAGCTGCTCACCTCCTGCTGTGCTGCCCAGCTCCTAACAAGCCAGAGTCCAATACTGGTCCTCAGCCTGGGAGTTGGGGACCACAGCTCCAAGATATTCCTTGTCTCCTTGGAGATTTTTAGCAGGGCCATTTTATGGTTGCCAAACTCAAGGTTTGCCTTAGACCAGGGCTTGCCAGGATGCTACATCTGCTCTAGGGAGAGTCATGAAGAGGAGTTGTCTTAAGGCTGAGTCTTGCCCTCTTAGATTAACTTTGGACCATGAAAGGGTGGTCAGATAATTTATTATTCAAAGTGGGACATGTTTGATAGTGCTTGGCAATGCTCTTAACAATTCTCATGGACAAACTGCACATGTGGTCACCCTAGATGAGGATAAGCCTTGAAGTAAGCCAGAGTTTCTGAATCACCTTGGTCTCTTGGAGATGCTGGATGCTGGTCCCATGTAAACACCCTCAATGTTTGAATATCTTTATCTGCAGACCAGGCTGGGCCAGAGGACCCTCAACCTTCCCTAGTGCTTCTGGCCTCAAGCACGGAGCTTAGGGCTTAATATGCCATT